TAAAAGGTTCATGAAAGTGGCTCATCTTCTCTTTGTTCTGACAGTCATCTGCGGATTTTTAAGACTCCATTGTTGACATTGTCCTAAAATTCCAAACATTGTAAATCCTCGAAGCAATTTTTTCTCGCGCGGCAATCCCGATTGGACAAGATGGGTGGATATTGCTCGCCCGGTTCGTCAATTAGAACAAAGGATTCGCTTCCTCTTTTCCACGAGCACTGCTTACCAGCGCGCGTGCACAACCCCCCCCCCCCCCCCCCCCCCCCACCCACCACTTCATCCCCGCACTTAAAAAGAAAAAAAAAGAACATTATAAACATAGGATATTTTTGGTAGTTTTCTAATAATGCGCACCCTTCTTTTGTATGCAAGTAATTTTTTTAACGAGACTACCCAAGAATCAAAGTATTCGAAAGACTTTTTGGAACTTCCCTTGAATCTCTCTTTGCATCACTGCTTCGGAAAGTACAAAACTGTAATGACCAGTTATTTATAGCTAAGAGGGTGGGGGGCGGGGGGGGGCGGCGGCGGTACGGGGGGAGGGTTACGAGTGGAGGGTTTTCTTCTTGTATGTCTGAATCTGTGCATTCGAAACTATTTATACCCAGTTCCCTCAGGATATCCAACTGCATATGAAGAATTACTGTATGCGGAAGAATTCTTCGAATAAGCGCTACACCGGAACAGGGGCGTGGGTAATAACTGAACTAATGCAAACGCTTTATTATGTTTATGGTATGTTTCATTATTTTTTAGATTCTGGTGGAAACCTCTGTTAGCCACGCCTAAAAACTTCTGGTAAAGACAAATTTGATGCAGACTGAAACGTGAAGATATTTATTCCAATTTGTTTGAAGTTTTTGCATTTTATGTCACGGCATCAGTACTTGACTGTAAAAAGATCGTTTAAAAGTAAACTGACGTACACCTTACACATTTACGCTTCACTTGCGTAAGTCATATGTTAAATTATGCTAAGGACAACATTATTTGTTACATTTAAAACATCCTGTTTGACAGTCGAATCATCGAAAACAACAACTCCAAGGAAAACAACAACTCTAAGCTCCATTGATCCCAGCGCTGGGGACCTGACTGCGGGAAGCAGTTTCTTCGTTTGTTTTCTGTTGGCTGTGGTTGTCATCATGATCTAAAACGAGAAAGAAGACGTCGAAAAGCAAGCAGACAATCGCCCTTTGCGGATCCGAGAACTAGTAGTGATAACTCTAAAAAGTAGAAAGTAACTATTGAAATAGAATTTGGAGGGGTATCAATAGAAGTGCCTTGAACTCTAAAGAGACTTTTTGAGTTTTGAAAAATGTGACCCTTTTTTGAGCCTACAGCTCAGCTACAGGGAACGGGAGCTTTCTTTTAGAAAGAGATAGCAAAATGTGTCTAGTTTTAAAAAATACGACAATTCTGTTCATGCGCGGTGAAAAGAGGGTCCTTAAAAAAAAAAAAAAAAAATGGTGAGGTCTAAATTCCATTTCCTCGCCCAGACTATGCTCATATTAAACTTTTTTTTTGCTGATCCCAGCTCCATTCTTTTATTTTGTTTCGATTTACAATCCCAGTAGTCCAAAGGTCATTCATAGACAACTCTTATGTTCCATATTGCATGTTCAGGTCTCCCTATTTTAAAATACGATCTTTAAAATAGTCTTTGTATTTCAGGGCTGTCGTATGGAATCTAGCATAAACGTCTCTGAATCTTGTCTACGTAGCTTGGCTAATGTGTTGATTTCCTGAGAAGGTAAAAAAAAAAACAAATAAGGTTTTTTACGAATGTCTTGCAGAAGTCAGGTATGAAATTCAAAATTGTTTTTTTAATTAGAATTAAAATTTTCAGTTCGTAAGCTTAAGGTGTATGAGGATCCTCTCGGCAATTTTTCTATTTTTTTTTCAGTAAAAAAAGGAACTTTTTAAAACTTGTTACTCCATTAAAAATAGAGAAACAAATGCATTGACAAGTAATAAAAGAAAGAAGTAATTGCATGTGAGCATTATTTTTATTTCGTACATTAAACTTACCATAAGGGTCTTTTATTTTGGGTTTATTATCCAGATTGCAAACGCACACTAAATCCTGGTCGTTAGAGATATGACATGGTGTCAAGGTTCGTCTTGGTAACTGGAATGAATTCTTGATACAGCGCGTAGACCTTCCTGGAAGTCATCAAAGGAGGCCGGGTTCCGTGCGCCTTTCATGTAGTAACTCAAACCAATGCCCTTCCTTATATATCAGCGGGCTCAAGATCCTAAGGCGAGAAGGACCGACAGATGGAGTAAAGAACACAGGCAGAGATTTACGTCGCGAAGATTCTTCGGATTTGCGCGTGATTGCATACCTGAATGTTAAGAGCTTGAACAAAATCTCCTTACAAAGGAAATTAGGGGGAGGGGGGACCTTGATGATGTGTACTGTTTGTTGCCTGACTTTATTAGAGTCCAGTTGTTGAACAATAACCTCTATTGGTAAACTTTTCTGGTTGAATCTCAACTTCAGTTCACCTACTCGAAGATTAACTGTTCAACGTCTTAAATCATAGGCATTGAGCTCGTTTTTATTCATTTATTAAATTCTCGTGAAAGTTCTTGTGTTCATTTCCAGTCAAGAGATGTTTAATCTTCCAAGGTCAGTCTACCGCATGCTCACTGACTACATTTTCTTCCCAAGTTTGTTCGAAAAGACTTTTTCGCTTATGTTCATAGCGAACAACTTAACGAAACCTTGCCGGTGTAATTACAGATTTTGTGCGTTAGATATCTGTAGTCGGAGAAGTGTTCCCTGCTCCTGCAGAATGTCCCGTTGTTCACTTAGTTATGATTGGTCATGTGCTCATTTATACCAATGCTGATTTACAACTTTAATCCTGTGGTATGTTCTAGACTGTAGAATTGTTTACATAGGTGAAGCTCCTTTCAAGCTGTTGTCATTAAAAGCTGCCAAAAACACCCTGCAGTTTATTCACCACACCATCGCTGTTTCTCTTTTAATTGGTCTTCACCCTCTGATTATAAACTCACCAATGCGAAAATTCCCATTTAACCAAGGGCAATAATCGAAGGAAAAGCGAATGAATGTTGCGTGTACGAATTCAAAACATTTGAACTATGTGCTATTTGTGCTGCTTTGTTGCAGAAAATTGACCTAATACCATGACCCCATTCAAGACGAAATTGTGTTGGGAAACGTATCAATAAGTAAGAAGGTTGCTGTAATTTTACCAACAGTTCGGAAATTTGTCATCCTAACATCAGTAAACCCTGATCTTTTACTGTTATCAACAAAGAGAACTTAACTGTGTCGAAGAATGGGAGTATTCACATCTAACCAACTGGTTACAGTTGCTTCCATCATCGGTAAGTTGTCAAATGGATGAAGTTCATCCATCATGTATTAAAACATCCGCGTTGTCCAAAAAGCGATGCAATGACATTACTTTTATCGCTTTCAATTCAAGTTTAAGTAGCTTGCGCTTCTTTTAATTTTCATGTACTTCGCATTCTTTAGGATGTAAATCTTTGTGTTGCTGTGACACGGATCAAACAGCTCGTTTATAGATTAACATGGTGAACGCCTTTTCAACCTTGCAAGACCGCGTTTAGCATGGCAAGGAGTCAATTCGTAATTCTGATAATATTAAGTACATTTTTTTGCTTATTTGATTTTGATAAGCTGAATATAATATTACACTGAATTTCATCGTCTGATGGCATCAAGAGAGAAAGGAAAGCTTGATTTTGAAACATCGAGACGCAAGGTAGCCTAGAAATTACGGCTTCGTGGTGATTATTTTGTTGACGCTGACCTTTTCATGCTCCGCGCCTGACGAAAATATTTATAAAGAACTGATTTGCCATCAACTGGGTAAAGAACTTTTAGTTTCGGATTTGTTTGTGTTTCATCTTGGTTTTCATTTCATCTCGTGGTCAAACCCTGTCTCGTCCCAACCCTTTCTCGTCAAGAGAAAACAATGTCCCATTATTTTCTTTTGCTTCTCTCCTATGTTCTTGCGGCGTCATAAAAACGTACAGATGGAGAGCAGTCCATCTCTTACCTTCTCCAATTCAGTCTAGTAACTTATGAATTTTTTTTTCAGTTTTAACATTATTCTTCAACAAAGGACACTGCGATTCAAGTGAGTTTCTACGGCAACAAACATAAATTGCTGTATAGTTTACTCATTCAGAATAAATCTATTTGGCTGATTACATAATTCATAAATTTCAAGACTTAAGGTATTCTATTTGAAAAGGGAAATCGCTTGCACATGTGCTTTCTCACCGACATTTATAGATTTGAAAAATCGTGTCTGGAATTCTATGCGAGCTGGGCATACAGTGCGCACGTTTAAGTTTTTATCTGAGCGCCTACACCTTCAAAAAGTAATTGAGGCCGCATCTACTTCGCTTGACAGACATAAGAAAATTTAGCATTGGAAATGCCACCAAAACAGAATCGTTATGACTGATGGCACTTCAAGGTTTGACACTTCTAAATATGATGCAGCGAAAGTTTACAAAGTACAGTGAAATATTTTAAGAAAATGGAGCACATTGTCGTTCAGAAAATGGGCCTTGCAGGGTAATTGTCCTGATTTCATTGAGGAAAGTTAGCGACTTGCCACTCCACTAAAGAGTTCAGTGACTCCCTCGTATCAGGATAATCTCCTATGGGTTCTCATTTTTGGGTGAGATACGGAAGTCAACATTTAAACTTACTTTTTGTATTCATAATAGTTTGTCCCAATGGCATGACGAACATCACAGCCTCCAGTGGTGAGCTTGAATATCCTGAGTCAGGTACTTATGGTAAGAATGAGACCAAATGTTGGAGCATTACGGTTCCCGAAACTTATTATGGTATTCGATATCGTTTTTCCAGGTAAGTTTTCCGTGTATAATACTCGTCAGTAAGATGCAAATCTCTGAGGCTCACACTTCATTTCCAATTCATTTGATGCTGCCGTCAATCATCATGTTAATGGACATCTAAAAGCAGAGACAAACAAAATCACAAAGTCATTTCATATCAACTCAGAAAATTACCTTCAAACCCTGTGAAATATGGTACTAGCTCTCGAGAGGATTTAAACATGATTGCCGGCGGGATAAGGCAAAGTTTTTAGATGTTGCATCTCCAACTTGGTAGCTTGCATGCTCTTAAAAAGAGCGAAAGCAGTGTCAACCATCTTGACGAAAGCACACTTGAAAAATGCTCCAGCCACGTCAATTTTTTTGAAAGCTGCTAGCCAGCGTGGGTTTCTTTCCTTTTGATTACAATACCAAATCAGAAAAAGAGGACAAGAGTAAAAAAAAAATTTGGTAGATAAAACTGCAAATGATTGACGTGTATCTCTTCAAGTAATCGGCGCAATTACCAGATTACCTTTCGTATTTTATTTTGATGTTATGATAATGACTGATAATTATGTTTATAATCATTATCAAAATAATTATAACTATCTTTATCACACTCATTTGAAAATCAGTGGAGATCCATGCAAACTGCTCGCCTCTCATTGGTGCGATTAAATCACGAATTGCAACCTTTTTTTGCTCTAAATCAAATCTTTTTCCCAGCCAATAAGAAAGCTTTACGAAACCACAACAACTAATTAGCTTTTAAAGTTTTTTTAAAGTAACCAATCAAATTTCAGGAAAACGAAAGACAACTTTTGCAACTTTTCACGAATTAGCTCAGTACTAAATCAATAAAATATTTGTGCAGAAGAGCAGAAAAATCCTGAGTGTTTTTTTTTTGCGTTTTCAAAATGGATGTAATAAAGTGGTAATTGAACTCTGTGTGGTGCAATTTTTGTCTGAAATCATACTCGTGACTTCAAATGAAACTCGCGCTGCGCACCTGTTCGATTTGAAATCACGTGTATGATTTCAGACCAAATTGCACTTTATTTATCTCAATTATATCAGTAATCAATCAATCCTGTAACGGGACTTTTAAGGTCCAATACGGTCAGACAAGGGATAAAAACAGTTTAAATATATTCAAAGTAAGTTATCTTCTCCAGTAGATCAATCTCCACGTTTTCCTTAAGATTGGTAAGAACTGAAAACCAGTCAAATCGATTTGTGATATTTTTCCCAGGATTGATGTAGAAGTGTGCTCTGGTTGTGAGTGCGACTATCTTCAAAGAGGAAATTCCTACAACTATTTGCACATGCACTCTAAATTATGTGGACGATATAGTTACAACTATTTACAGGGATATGTATTCAACGTCTACTGGACAGATGGATTTACCAACGTTGTTTCTGGATCAACGGTCTATCTTCGCTTCGTGTCGGATAATACTGTACATTACACAGGATTTAAGTTGAGCTTCATAGCCACATCCAGGACAGGTGGGTAACTTTACAAAGAGGTTCTCAATGGGGCGATGGCTTTCACGGACAACGGTTAAAATTCTAACAGCCACGGAGTCTTAGCCCAATGGCTGAGGTGTAACAGGGCACAAGCCTGACTACCAATCCTGCAAAACAAAGTGCCACCAAGATGAGTAAGACAAGCCCTTTCCAGTCTCGGAGAAAACTCTAGTTCAAGTTTACCGTTGGGTCAAAAGACCCTGCCCTCCTTACCTCGGCTGACCTTTAGACTCAGAGCCATTAACAACCCACCCTTGAAAGGGCCTGTAACTGGCATACATGTAGGTGCTAACGTGATGTTAATAACCCTGCATTTCCATTGGCTAGGCTGGCTCGAGGGTGGGTAATGTCTTAGCCCACTGACCGAGCAGTTGCCAGGCATAAGCCTGACGGCCATCAAGCAAAACAGTACGTTATCAAAATAAGCCAAGAAGACCTTTTCAGCCCACGGGCAAACTACAATTTGAGGCTGAGGAGTCCAAAACCTACCCTTCCTACCCATGGGCTTTGGACACACAACTGGAACTGACCCACCCTACGTGCCGTTGCTGGTCTAGACATTAAGCCCCCACTCCATTTACAATGGCTGGAGCCGGCAGATATTTGCAACCCCTTTCTAAGCCTGCTGCTTTAGACTCTCCATCACCCTCCAACCACAGGGTGTGTCACCTACAAGCATAGCTGTGACAGAGTATGAACCTGACTATCAATGTTGCTCCACGCGGGCATCTTTTTTTTAAAATCAAAGCAGACGTATTCTCTTGATAACCTTTATTGATTTCGTTAATTTTTTCATGTGGTAACAGACTACTTTTATTTTGCAGCGGGTAGAGTTAACTATCTGAATGCAACCGAAGATGAAACTATTGAGTTTGGCACACCAAAAGTCGACATTGAGAACTACCCCTCAAATTACGCAGAACAGTGGATTTTAATTGTCCCTGAGGGACGGAAGGTCCAGATAGACTTTGACATATTTGAACTGGAAGACAGTGAGGATTGCAAAAATGATTATGTTGAGTTCCGTGAAGCATCCATCATGGTTGGTGATCCTAAAAGAATATATGGCCATTTTGGTCCAATCCTGACAGGACGCCTGTGTGGAAATGCAAAGCTAAAATCGATACTGAGTCAAGGGAACATGGTTTGGGTTCAGTTCCTGAGTGACAGAAACTCCACTACCGTAAACAAGGGATTCAAAGCTTCTTTTAAAGCAGGTGTGTCATGAAGATGAGTTTTGTTAAGTTTGTTTAATAACGCGGCATGTAAGTTCTTTTACATCTTTTCCTTTGGTGAATTGGAGCTCATTCAACTTTTAGTAGTGTTTTATGACTTGACATGATCGCGGCAGGATAATGTTTGAGTTTTTTTTTTGTTTTTTTTTTTAATTTTGTCTTCGTTTTTTTCTTAGAGAAAGCAAACGTTTTTCCTCTCTTGTCAACTAACCATAAAAAGGAATGATTTGTATGTTGTCTTTACATCTATCTTTCAATCTTTCTCATTTTTTCAGTACAGGGAAGCGGATTGCCTGTAAGCCGTCCAATGATGCTTCTTTTTCTCTCAGCTTTGATCGTGCATGTGTCAAAGAACAACTTGTTGTAGTCCTGTCAAGTGTATCCAGGAGATGTCTTTTGTTCGCTGAAGTTATAAATTATATTCATTTTGGTAAACTCTGATTGTCGACTTAAAAATTTAAATATCAAGGATTTCGTGTAAAGTTTTGTCCCAGGAATCTTTCTTTTAGATCATTTTTATCTCTCATCGGATCGAATTCATCTGTGCGTTTTGCTTTTTTTTCCATCTGCATAAATTTAGTACAATAAAAACAAAATTTAATCGGTTTGAAAACCCTCAGACTTAATAAAACTTGAACAACATTATGTGCATCTTTGAAATAATTTAGTAGATAAGCGTTTTTGGCCAAGCGTGAGGAGAAGATGGCAGGATATTGTCACAGTTTTTTTTCTTTTTTTTTTTGCATGTACTTTCCAAAAATAAAGGACTCAAACGTGAATGTAAACAAAGTTGAGTTGAAATTGGATCTCCCGGTGAAGCTGTTTGTTGCGCAAAGGCCGCTAGAGAGTTCACGTCTATTTGCGCGCGTTTCTAAGATTTCGACTCAATAAAAAAAAAATTCGGCCAACCCGCAAGGGTTTAGAGTCAACTTAACATCGCAGTAATTTTCAGAGTTTGAAAGAAGCCCAGTCGTAAATACCATTTGTCAAGCCAGTATCAGAAGTATTGGGAATGTGTTTTAATCCCGATTTTTTTTAAATTTTAGCTCAGCCATTTAGTTTGTCACGAAGAATCTCTTAATCAAAACATAATGGACTAAAGGTGGATGTGATTCGTTAAAAACAAATAATGAATGATTAGATTATAACGGAAGAATTATATGAACTCAAAAGCATATAATGTCAAAGTCTGGTAATTTTCATTGTGGCCTTTAATCTTAGAAACAAACATAGGAGGTTTCCTATTGAATAGAAATCACATGCTCTAAAAGATCATCTTATCGTCACGAGAAGTCGATAGAGTTATGCTCAGCTCAAAACTCATTCATTGCAGCCGTTGCGATAGCAGGGTTGGGGAGCGATCCTCTCTACTACGATCTCCTTCTACGTTGCACCCTACTGAGCAGTTAAGTTATTTACTAGATTAGTGATACCCTCGTTAATTTAAGGGACCTTTAGCAAACTACGAAGGCAGCGGAAACGAGGACGTGGCAAAACAACAGATCTAATGGTCAGAAAAATAGCACAGGATGAGCGTTATAAACCTTTGTGCATTTTTTAGCCGTCCTCTGGGAAAACAACGACGTGAAAACTAAAAAAAATTATCGTCTGAGAACGGAATTTGCAACGGCATATTAATAAAATCAATATCTTCCTCGGCGTTGTCTTCCTGACAGCTGAAGATCTTTGATATGATTATTTTCCTACTGATCTTTTGCGCTTTGGTTGACACTGGCGCTACTTGTGCTGGCTTCAATACTTGCAACGGAAGGGGAATTTTTGGTTGAATTCATGTATTGTCCACATCACTGCTTCCAGTGTAACCAGACCCAGGTACGAATTAAAGACATTTATATGAAAGCGGCGCTGTCACGACGGCGCTGTAACGGTATCCCAGCAATCAAAACAATAGTGCGTTCAATTGTTGTGAAGCATCTTGGGAAGAGCGATCAGTCAGCAGTTTCAAGTAAATTTCTTCGCATGTAAACAGTTCAGCCGATCACTTTGAGACACGCACGGAATGAGGATTTTTGCAATTGTTGGAATTTCGCGTTTAAGAAAATGACCGAAACCTTGTACTTTTCGATTAGCTCTGAGTCTGTGAGTAATCATAACTGTCTGACTTGTTTACTATTTGTGCGTGTGTGTGTGAAAATTTTCCTACGGCTACAGTGACCTTTGCAATGTCATATAGAAATTTGCGAATTAGGACGAGTATCTTGCCAGCAGTGAATCTCTGGAATATGAAAAACTCTTTGAGTAATAAAGCGACTTAATTTTCCAACTTTTTTTTATCAAAAATATCCTCTTCATTTTCAGTTGGAAAATTTTTCCTAATGCCGTGCAACACCAAGGGTTAAATGACTAAAACATGAATGTTTGTTTTGCCAAAATTTGGAAGCTTCCGAGGTAGGACATCGGTTCCTTTGAAGATTAGCGAAAATTGGGCGATTTGCAAAACTTTGGCAAGTTTTTCAAATACGGGGTCACACTTATTTTTCGCTACTTTTTAACAATTTTTTTCTGGAACAAAAAATAAAGCTCTGGTGCGACTCGGGGCTAACTGTAGAAATTCTCCCTCCCATTGGTCGAGAGCTATTGTCAATAAGTTTATAGACAATGAAAATGACGTTCCATGTAATACAACCCTCGACATGTCAGAGAAAAAATTTATCTCGTACAAACAATTGCAAACTTAGAAATATGCAAATATTCTAAACTTTGAAAGGAAACCATTCGACTGCACCCCGTGGTTACGTTCATCGTGGACGTCATTTCTACGATCAATAAGGTTACAGACAAACATATTTAAACATATTTGGATAAGGTTACTGTTATTTGACCAACCACGCAGGCATTTGTCGTACTCTGCTCAGTGAATCCTTATATTTTACTGTTACAGACTGAAAGAAATTTACGGAGTGGAAGAATGGGAGTATTCAAATTCAAGCAACTCATTACAGCTGCCTCTGTCATTGGTAAGTTGTTCATCTTTCATGTATCTAACCATCCTAATTTCTCAGAGAGCGACACGCCTGAATCATTTTTCCCGCTTTCAAGTTAAGTTCTTTTGATTTTGATTTTCCTTTATGTCTTCTAGCCTGTTAATCTTATTGACAATGTGTTAAGGATCTGGCAGCTCGCTTATAGATTTCTGGGCGATGCGCAAACCCCGTTCAAAACCGCATACATCCTGCTCAACTTTAGCAAGGATTCAAGAGTATTTTCGTTAACCTGGCAATATTTGAAGTGAATTACATCTTTTTGGCTTATTTAATTTTGAATTGCTGGGTCTGATAAGTGTACAAAATACACGAAGGTTCATTCACTAATGAAATCAATAAGAGAAAGAAATGCTTGTTTTAACAAAAATCCAGAAACAGCGCAGCCGAAACGTAAGTGAGTTTAGGAAAACCACGACGGCAACGTCAACTGGAACCTCAATAAGAAACGAGTTTCATGAACACAACAATGGCTGTGCACGTGTGTTATAAACCTTCGTAAATTTCTGTGCGTCCTCTGCAAAACAACAACGTGAAATGATCAAACTTCGTGTTGTCTGGAGAACGTGAACGGCGATGGCTAAGTTTTTGAATTTCTATTTCAAATTTAACGCTGTGTTCCATGTTCAGTTTCGTGATAGTTTTTACGGCGAGAAACAAATTAAATGACTTTAGAGTATCGCGCGATTCGTAGGTAAAATATAAGTTCATCTTTTAACCAACGTTGTCGACGGCGTCGCTGTCCTCGTTTCTTAAACTCAGGGCGATTGTTTTGCAGAGCCGAGCTTCTCATGCGCTGCACCTAATGAAAATGGTTAAATAATAACTTGCCTTCATTAGAGGAAGGAAATTTTCGTTTAGAATTCATTTGTATTTCATTTTGTGTTTTATTTCGTCTCCGGTTATTTTTCCTCTTAGTTTATTTTTTCTCTTTGGCGACTAAAACCCTGTCTCGTCCTAATCTCTTCCGGACAAGCGAAAATAATGTCCCATTGTTCTCTGTTGCTTCTCGCATGGGTTCTTGCTGCATTATATAAAAAAAGTACAAGTAAAAACCAGTCTATATGGCCCCCTCCTGCATATTTTTTCAGTCTAATGTCTTATGAATGTTTTCTTGTTTCAGTTTTATTACTATTCCTTGAAAGAGGACAATGCGATTCAAGTAAGTTTGAAACCTGAACTGTTTCGGTATAAAATGCAAATTCATTGTAAATGTATTCAGTTTATATAT